TCTGTTCCATATAATTTCATAGTTAACAACAATTATGACTAAGTTTTGTACATACAAAATACATTGTGGTTGTTTTTATAAACTTTGACTTTTCAATGAAAGTTTGGTCCCTATTTTAAATGGATTTACTCCACACTACCTTTGGAACTTTCCAGATCAGCAAACAAGCAGTAGTTGACAGCCAGGGAGGGGAGCAATAAAAGGACAGTGGCAGCGCACTCTAGGGACTGAAAGAAAAGCAAATGCTCTGCTTTCTCCCCAAGCTCGGGGTAGAGGGGAGGATGGAGTGGCTCTTCAGTTACACTCCTGACTTGTACCAGTCCTCATCCTGACTCAGAAAAAGGAAACTATCCTTGCCATTTTGCTTGTGTTTGCTATTCAAAGCATATCTTATCAAAGCAGAGTGAGCACTGCGGAGTCAGTGTGGGGGAGGAGCGTCTCCAATGCCCTCTTCCTGGTGCCCAGAGAGACCATATTTTCAGCAGCTGGATCCCAGAAAGAGGACAGAAAGTGCCCTTGGGTTTGCCAGCGCGGACGTCATTGCTATCTCAACAAGCGCATTTTCACTGGAGTAATCGCAGGCGAGCGGTCATAGCACGATCAGAAAGGAAGGCAGTAGGGACACTGCAGAAGTTCAGCAGTGAAGAGAAACAGTTTTTCCTCATCTGAAAAGCCTGTACTGGTCAATCAATGTTCAATAAACATGTGCAGTTAACCTCAATAAATGGCTATCAATGTAGACACCAGAGCCGAATAAAGTCTCGGCATGCATTGTCCACTGTTGAAGGACTCATACTGGATTCTGGGTATTTCTTTCACTGAGGAAACCTAGAAATAGCAGCACGTTGGGAAGAATGGATCAATGTGGAGCATCCGCGACCATTCGCAAGCTCTGTCCACAACTGCTGGCTGCTGTCCCTGAGCCCCTGCGCTGCCCGCCCCGCCCCCGTTCCCGTCCATCCTGTGCGGCAGCCTCAGCACAGCTCCTCGCAGGAGCGCCATTGATCTCAGGATGGTCTGGGAGCGGAGGTGGAGGAGCGTCATCCGAACACAGCTGCGTCACGGTAGAAACAACCACACCACTTGCCGTGTCCAATCCTGAGGGCATAAGTCTTAAAGTTACTACTGTAAGGCCACACTTTCAATGTTTTGTTCTTTTTTAAATTCTAATTTCCTGTGTCAATAATGCATAGTGTATACAGGGTCATGATGATTCATAAAATATTTTATAGTGGAACTATTTTCCTACATAAAGTTTAAGTTATATAAGCTTAAGCAATACATTCTCTTTTATAATAAAAGGAATACAGTATAATACAAGGAATATGTCAACTCTATGTTGACATCATTAGTTTTTATATGTACAGCAACTACTCACCTTCTTTTATGACCATAATTAGTGATATTATGTTGTCAGGTGATTATGGCAATGTACTTATAGGCAACTCTACTTATGTCAACTCTACTTTTTATATAGTCTTAGATAGAAATATTTAAAAAGATAGCATGCACAAAGCCCTGGGTTCAATCCCCAGCCATGCAAAAAAAAAAAAAAATTTTTTTAAAAAGAAATGTAAACTTAAAGGAAGCATAGTTACACTGAAAATCAACAAGCACTTACCGAGAATCACTTTATGAAACCATTCAGAAAAATCCATGTTATTATATGCAAATAGATTCTAAGGGGTATTTACTTTGAGACTGAATGGTAATGCTATAGTTAAGATCATATATACGAACATTTACAACTTTAGAAATAGAGAAATTGCTGCTGTTGCTTCAAGATAATACATATCAGTATATGGATTTTATATCTGCCTATAAGTACATTGCCATAATCACCTGACAACATAATATCACTAATTATGGTCATAAAAGAAGGTAAGCAGTTGCTGTACATATAAAAACTAATGATTTAGATATATTTCTCTGTAAAATGGTGCTGTTGACACGCTGAATAACTTCAGCTCTTAAAGAACAAATAATTGAAGTTGTCCTCAAATAAAAATTGGTTACGTAGGGCCAAGGTGTAGTTCAATGGGAGAGCTCTGACTTAGCATATGTGAGGACCAGGTCCCATTCTCAAAAAACCCACTCTGCAGCTAGAATACACTGGAATTTTGAGCTTGGTCTTTACAAAGGTGTGTGTTTGTAGAGATAAGTGTGTTGACACTTCTTTCTTCAGTTCACTTAGCATTTTGTTTATATAAAAACAGATAAATTACACAACAGTTTATAACCCGTATTCCATCTATTTCTATTAGTTATGGGAAAATCATTAGTTTTTTACTATAGGTGTTCCTTGACTTACAGTGGAGTTATATCCTGAGAAGCCCACTGCAAGTTGGGAATATTCCAAGTTAAAATGTATTTCATACACCCATCCCACCAGAGATCATAATTTTATTTAGCTGATGTTAAACATGCTCAGAACACTTATGTTAGCCCGTATCTGGGCTAACACATCTATGTAACACATGCCTGTTTTACATATGCTATCCATAGGGTGTCCTGATGGGATGGGAGCTGCACTTCCCCATGCTGAGAGAGGATTGGACCATATATCACTAGCCCAAGAAGAGCTACACTCAAGTATTGTTTTACCAAATGCATAGTGCTTTTTCATTACCATAAATTCACGTACAATCCTATGAGGAACCATCTAAATTGAGGACCACCTGCATTTATAACACTCATCTTAGGTCTCCCACAATGAAATACTACTCAATTTCAAAAAATGCTACATAAAACTTGTCATGTAAGACTCAGCATATTTCTACTTGGCTGAATGATTGACTTCTGGTGCATTTTTCTTTACATTTTCTTCTATATTTTGCAAATCAAGAGAAGAGGGGAGAAAAAGATAAAGAAGAAATAAGTATCATGCAAATTACTGAGTTAAACTGTTTCCCACTCTGCACCAAATATAGAATGTTGTCTCTGCTTCAGACAAAATCACATACTGTACTATAAAATTTGATTGGCACAGTGTATTGTGAAAACTCCGAAGCTTACTATATCATTTAGTTTTGCTTAAGTGGTATTTTAAAGAGATGTGACTTGTTATAGGATACAGGAGGATCTGTTTCTCATTTGAATATAATTTCCATGAATTATAAATATAATTTTCATGAACCATTAACCTTCACTTATGTGTGTTCCTTTATTTTAGTTGATGATAGCATTTATGCAAATCATGCTACTAAATCTGGTTGTGACTTTAAAATTTCATTTTGTGCTGATTTGTATCTTTTATGTATGTGTCACAAGTTCTTATTTCCCGGCCAAGGGCTTGCAATGTTTCTGTCATATCCAACACTACTAAGAAAGAAGCATCTTCGTTAGTAATAGCGTCAGTAACGCCAAGGAGAGGATGGACAGGCTTTGAAAATCGTTCAGTTAGTAAGGGCTGCTGACAAGACCTTGGCCCAGGGGGATGTTCCTCAAACTAGTGTCTGTGAAACTTTCATTGGGGCAATTTTTCTTTAGTGTCAGATATCAAAACTAATACACGAGTAGTTTAGGAAGTAAACATTTTAATTGTTTCTGTATTCCCCAAAGAGGAAAGTGCGCATGGTGTGAGGAGTCCTGACATCCTTGTGGAATCAACAGAGAGACAATTCCTGAACTGCAGCTCCTGCGCCAAGCCCGGGTGGGAATAAACAGGGGTGGGGCCAAAATCAGGGGTGGAGCCTGAGATGGGCGGAGCCTGCATAAAGTCTAGGCCAGATTGGTAAATCAGGATGGGTGTATTAGACAATGCAATGCTACTTAAATTTGTGTGTATGCCCATAAATTTAAAAGAAGAAATATTTTTGAACATCACACGAACAACTAATCTGTCCTATACTGAATCCTTGTATTTCCGGTAAGCAGGACTAGTTATTCATTCAGATGCACTCATCACATTTTCCTGCCCCAAGCCCCTGTTCTTGAAATCCTTCCCACCGACCTTCCACGTTCATAAAGGTCTACTTTTAGGTTCACTCCGTCTTTACTGTAAAGTCTTCCACACTGCCTTAAAGTCATTCTCTGCGGACAACATTCAATTGTGTTGCCATTTGCTACTGGTGCATTGCTTTCCATCATATATTATTTGTTACTTTTATACAAGGAAGTCTACAGCACATAGATTTAAAATGAGGCTCTACACTCAAACTGCATCCAGTGTGTCACTTTTCTCTGTGTATTTCTGAACCCAGCTGACAGGCTGCCACTCACACAGCTAAGTTCTCAAGCAAATAAACAAGGTAGGAACACACAGGTTCCTAGAAATAAGAAGATCTATTTTAAATGTTTGGGTTTTCCAATTTTTTTCTGATGTGCCTTAAAAAAAATGGCAGAAGATACACGTTTACACATAAAATCTAAATAGTCATATTGCCTGAACTATATAGATGTACTAGACTTTCAACAGGAAGTATTCTTTTTTCAGTGTCATGACTAATATTTCTCCCTAGTTTTAAAGTAAAACAGGTAATTTGTATTTGCTTTGCAATCTTATTTTGTTGATAAGATATTGTGATCACACCAGAAAAGTAGAGAAGCAGCTGTACCCTTTTGTTCCCTGAACTGCAACATCTGCACAAATTCAGCAACAAAGTTTGAAATCTAAAGGTTGGCTGTCTCTTATCTGACATGTTAGAGACCAGAAGTGTTTCAGATTTTGCACGCTTCTTTGTGGAGGTGGGTAGTATCTACTTCTGAATAATGAATTATCTTAGGAATAGGATCCATGTCTAAAGACAGAATTCATTTATGCTTTGAATACACACTACACAAATAGCTTGCAGGTTACTCTAGGCAGTATTTAGCACACCAGCATTTTCACTACAACCTGTCACATGAGGACAAGGGTAGAATTTTGTACTTGTGGTGTCATGTCAGTCCTCAAAACGTTTCAGATTTTGGAGCACTTTGGATTTCAGATTAGAGATGCTGAGTAAATCTGGTGTCACTTATTTTACTTTTATTCCTTATAAACTTTGTTACTCTTTTAGGGCCTGAAGGGGCTCTTTTTGAACATTCAGTGGAGACACCTCTTGTCAGAGCCGACCCATTTGAAGACCTAAGGTAAGAATTTTTGGTCCAGAAGTCGATGGGGTGTGTGCGGTAGCAGTAGTCACCAGATTATTGTCATTGCATTGTTTTTATTTTCATGCCTCTTACATAAAACTACTCATTTTTTAAATCCAAAATAAGTCACAGGTCCTGCTGATTCTCTGCTCTGTCTCTGAGTTCCAGACCACTTTATTCTCCTGGCCCCATCGTCTGAGCTCAGGCTCTGAGCTGTTCCAAAAGCCTTTTCCCACCCCAGCTGATTCCTCCCCCGCCTTCCCTTCGCGCTGGCATCAGTCACTTTGCTCAGTGCAAACTGAAATGCTTTGCTCATTCCATGTCAACTGCGGGAAAAGCCTAAGCACTGCAGTGTGTGCTGCTGGCCCTGCACTGGCCGGGCTGTGACTACAGCCTGTCTTCTCTCGCGTCCTCACAGACTGCAGTGGCTGCCAGGCCCTTCCACCCCATACTTTGGCGCCAGCTGTTCCATCTGACCCACGCCCCGCGTTCCTTCTCTGCATATGAAACAAGGCAAAATCTTTGCACCTTATCCTAGGAGAGAATGGCACCCTGCATAGACTTTAAAATTTGCAAAACGCATTCTTGAAAATGTTGACATGCACGTTAGTAGAGAAAAGAGCACTATAAAACCAAGTGCACGGTAAATGCACATGTGCAAAAGGTTGGAAACCTTTGATATGATGTCTCTTTTTTATCTGTGGTAAAACATTACATACAATTCACCCTCTTCACCACTTTGATGCACAGCCTAGTGGAGGCAGGATATCACAGTATTTGTCACCACCACCACCATCCTTCTCCAGAGCGCTTTTCCTCCTTTTCACGGAAGCAGCATACTCATAAACAGCTCTTCTTTACATAAATGGAAGCATCCAGCACTTGTGCCTTTGTGACTGTGTTTCCCTTAGCCTGGTGTCCTCGACCCTTCAGCACACCTTTACATAGCATCTTCAGTATAAAACCACCCAGTTCCAGCTCCATGTATAAACTTATTCTTTTCAGAGTCCGTGTGCCTATGTGGGTTTCAGCTCATTGCTAAGCTACTACATATACAGTCACAGCCGGGCATGGCGGTGCACGCCTGTAATCCCAGCACTCGGGAAGCTGAGGCCGGAGGATCGCTGCGAGTTCGAGGCCAGCCTGGGCTACAAAGTGAGCACAAGGCCAGCCTGCACTGCACAGTGAGACCCTGTCTCAAAAAGACTAACTAAATAAATATACAGTCACTGCTAATTCCAATACTTCCAATACTATGTTTGTATTTTATAACACAAAAAGAAATAAAATATTTTAAAGCAATTGGCCTTAAGGTCTAAGAAATCACTTAAAAATGTATTTAAAATTTGGACTTGAAGTATACACTGGACAATTAACTTATTAAAATAAATCATGTACAGTAGGGAAAACAAGGCAGAGGAGGATGTACCTGTGGGTCTGGGTCAAGTTTAACTTTCAACATTGGTTTTTTTTCCTACTAAAATATTGACAATAATCCTTACCTCAGGGTATTACAGGGAAGCTTTAACAAGGTATTGTGTTAGAAGTATTTTATAAGCGGAGAAGTCAAACACAAATAATCATTTTTATTATTGTTATTATGTTTAATAGATAGTCACACTAAATAGGAGTGAGGAAATTGAGCATTTCTCCTGTACTTAATATCTAATTAAATATTAAAGGCACTCAGAGAACATCTGTAACATAAAAATAAATTATGACTGTAATTAAATTATAACAATCTTCATTAATTTTGATAAGGGGTCATAAGATTCATATTAAAGAATTATTAGAGTTGGAGAAGAAAATTTTATTATCCTAAGGTAGAAAAACAATTCGGTAATTCTTAAAAATAGTCCCATTAAACCATCTGAAATGACAAAATACATTTTAGAAATGTCAAAATGCATTTAAAATGAACATCAGTGTTTCAAAATATATAGATCTCAAAATGAATTTGTCTTATGTTGTCCCATCAGGATATATACTTGTTGGGTTTATACAGAGACTTTTACTAGAAAATGAAAGGCAAAAGTGTTCTCTTACTTTCTAAGAGATGATCGTAGGGGAGAACGACATGGCTTAAGTGTTACACCTGGAGACGGGGAAAGCAGTACTGTGAGGAACGACCGTAGGAACGTGGCAAGAATGGAAGATGTGAACCAACACTTACTGAATGCCCTCAACCATCAGAAACTGCTCGGTGCTTTAGAGTTAATTATCTCATTCAGCCATACTCAGCCTTAAAATGTAAACAACTTCACAAAGAAAGACAATGAGATCTGGGTCGTACTGTGTTTTAAGTTACAGAGCTCAAAATGTGACTGATAAGTCAAATTCAGCTGACTCCAAATTCGATATGCGTATATCCTATTCCCTGAACAACTTGTCAACCCTCTTACAATTTATGCCTTTATTTACTACCAGATTTCAGTGTTTGATTATATGATAGTATATTTTCTTCTGCAAATATTTACTGTAAACTATGTTGCAGGGTTTTTCTGTTCATTTCTAATAGCATGACTATTCCTGAACTAAGTATAGTGAAAAAGATTTGCAAATATCTTCATCAATCTAATAAAATATTTAATGTGGAATTTGGAAGTTAAAGTCACGATATATTTATAAATACATCTCTGCAATGTACATGCTTTTTACAACCTAATACTTGATATTTGCTCAGTGGTAGTCATAGACAGAAACATTATTTTCTTAAAGAGGAAAGGCAATTGATTTGTACAGAAGCTAGATTCACCTGACAAATGGCAAAATCATTCACAGGAAAGTACAGACTCTGACATACCACATTAAAGCTACCTTTCATTTACACATAATGTAATTTAGCCTTTTTAAAACTTTCAGCACAAACATATGAGGTGTGTATGCACCAGAATCTGTACGCTAGTTATATGAGATGAAAGACATGGTCTCTCACCTTAAGGAGTTAATAGTCTATTTAAAAAAATGCAAAGAAATTTGGCTGCTATAATTATTTGCTCTGACAAAAATACAAAATGATAGTCGGAGCATGAAAGAATGAGCATAAAATCTTCCCAAGATAATCTGAGATGGCATCTGAGAAAGGAAGTTTGAATCTTCTGCAGCCATGTGGGGACATGATATAAACCATGCAGGGAATAAGTAAACTGCTGGGAACAATGCCTGGCACACAGCGAATAAAATGAACACAGGTAAGTAAAATGACCCAGTCTGGAAGCATCAGGGTATTTCCTACGGCTGAGCAATAAAAAGGAAGCTCATGGCTGGAGCAGACAAGGGGAGCTAAACCAAGGTACTCCTAGGAACTCCAGAGATGGGGGCTGGGGCTTGAATGCCTTAGGGATCCATAGGCCAAGCAATAGCCCAGGGTGCACAAAAACCCCGACCCCAAACTCCACCCAAGTCCGGACCACCCATAGCCCAAGTGGATCAAATAGTGTGCCCAGCAGCCCCAGGACTAGAATCAATTAAATCATATGTCACTAATAAAAGAAAAAATCAGTTAAGTTGGATGTCACTAGTAAAAAGATAATTTTAAAATATGCATAGTTTAGAAACTAAAAATAAATTTATTAAATAGCTGATGTGTAAGGTAAGAGGAAATAACAAAAAGAATTTTGAAATATGTATAATTTGTTTTATTTCCAGTACAATTATTTCATTTAATTAATTTATTTATGAGCTCCAGCATAATAATTTAAAACATCTATATGATATGTAATGTGCAAGTTAGGAAAATTAGTATTTCCACCTCCTTAAGTATTTTCCATCTCTTTCTGTTGGAAGTGCTGGAATTCATTTCTTCTGTTTCTGTATAAAATATAGAATGACTGTAAGCTGTAGTCACTCTGCGCTGCTGCAGGACACCAGAACTTATTTCTCCTAACTGACAATATTTTGATTCTTGTTATCCAATCTCTTCCTAACGTACTACTCTCCCAACCCTTGCTAATGACCACTATTCTGTCCTCTATTTCTATGAAGCCTACTTTTTCAGCTTTTATAGATGAGTGAGAACGTGAATGCACTATTTGTCTTTCTGTGCCTGACTTATTTCCCTTAACATTCTGTCCTGCAGTTGCATCTATGTCATTGCTAATGACAAGGTTCCACTCCTCTTGTGACCGAATCGTATTCCACAGTGCATGTCTGCCACATTTTCCACAACTGCTCATCCCTCAGGGTTAGCCAGGGTGACTCCATGTCTTGTCTGTTGTGAGTAGTGCTAAAATAAACATGAGAGCAGAGGTATCACTTTGATGTACTGACTTAATTTTCCTTGAGAAAGTGAAATATACACAGTGTGATAGCTGGATCATATGGTGGATCTATTTTTAGGTCCTGAAGAACTGACGACAAACATTTAAAACATGCTACTTAAATCAAGGGCCACTCTGGGAAAATATAATCCTTATTGTCATTTATTTTATTAAAAAAGGAAAGACTGAAAAATTAGTAAACTATATATTCACCAGAAAGTGACAACAGGGAAGGAAGCCAAAGAAAAGGGGAAAACTACAAACATAGAGCATAAAGCAGTGAATGGAAAACAAAAATTTTTAATATAACAAAATTCCACATTGTGGAAGACAAAGTGAAAAACAAAATTTCTAAAAGAAAATGCAGCCGGGCGTGGTGGCACACGTCTGTAATCCCAGCACTTGGGAGGCTGAGGCAGGGGGATCGTTTCGAGTTCGAGACCAGCCTGGGCTACAAAGTGAGCTCAAGTCCAGCCTGAACTGCCTAGCAGGACCCTGTCTCAAAAAGACAAAAAAAAAAAAAGAAAATATGTGTACAACCTAAAGCTTTTTAGTAAGACAGTGAACATGCATTTAAAGAAAACTGTTAAATGTGGCTATATTTACATTAAATTTTTGTGCACTTAAACATACTATGGTAGTAGGATATAGTTTTTTTTTTTTATTTTAAAGAGAACAGTAAAAAAAAGAACAATAGTAAAATACCCATATCACAGACAAAAACAACACAAAGCAAAAACATTAAAAATGATACAAGGTTTCAAAACAAAATGATAGGGATTAACAGTGGTTGCTATATTGCATATTGTTATCTTCCACGAAGTTGCTCAGATTGCCAGATGTAAGAATGCAAGACTGATCAAATCATTAAAGAGAATAAAAAATAATAATTAAAAAAACATTAGCAATGGCACAGTAGAATGTAGCCTATAATGCAGTGAAACAGGCATTTGTGCAAAGAAACATGCAATAGTCATAGGATATAGTTTTTAACCCCTGCAAATTCTTTATGGTACTGGGAGTTGTACCCAGTGCTGTTGCAGTAGAACTATATCTCTAGCCCATTTGCTTTTATTTGCTCTTTTGAGGCAGGGTCTTGCTAAATTGGCTAGGCTGGGCTTGAACTTGTGATCCTCCTGCTTCAGCCTCCCAGAGCTCTGGTATTATAGGCCTGCACCACTAACCCCAGCTTCCATTTTTAAAAAGTCATTAGAAAAGCAAAACAGATGTTCAATGCGCAGAAGAAACAAGGTTGATAACAAATTTAAAATATAAATGACCACACTAGTCATCAGGGAAATCAAAAGTAAAACAAGACAGTGTAACACCCATCAAAATAAAAATACCTTCGCTCCAGCAGTGCCACATACTGGCAAATCGTGAGGAGGACAGAGTCAACACTGATGCCGAGCTCGTCAGTGAGTGTGAGCACTTAGAAACACAGAGTGATGCTTCAGTTCACAGATCGAATACACGACGGCAGGCCCATCGGATTATCAAGGAGCTCAAAATTTCCTGTTGCAGAATGACATCAACGTCAGGAAAAGGAGGATCAAAGATGCAAGCTCAACAGTCAGGACAGGCTGAAGCAGAGCAAACCTGAGAGGGGCGGCTGGCGTGAGGGCCGGCGCGGCGCCCCCTTATAGGCTGAGGGGCTTTTGTGGGTTTGCAGGAGGGAGCTGTCGCTCTCTTGCAAGGGGGGTACTGTGCTTTGCGGCCTGTGACCTCTGGGCTGGGGGCCTACCTGTGCTTTCCCCGTGACGGCTGGGAAGGTAGCAGTCTCCGACGCCCTCATCAATAAGGCTGCAGATCTCGGGGCTTGGCCTAGTCGGCCTCTGGTCAAGGCAGCAGCCCTCTAACTCCCTCCTCCCCACTCTGTGGTTAAGTTAGGGAAGGCGGGCGTCCTGGTTCACTGCTTCGGCTGATTCGGGACGGCGACCCGCTCTGTGGAGGTTGAAGAACTGCCTTGACGTGGGCCGGGTGACTGCCTGTGAAAACGGCTGTAATTCTGCTGGTGAGAAAGCTTTGAAACAAATTAAGTCAGCGGGCTAGAAGTAGACAGCAAGTCCTAGAAGAAGAGGCATCTCAGAAGGGAAGCTCCAAGACAGAAGGTCGGATTTCAGCGAATCTCACGTCCTTGTGCGGGGTCCTGGGACATCTTTGTACCTCTTGGACTCCACTGTCTACTCTTTGTGAGGCTGCTGCTACAGTGCCCGGTCATCTGGGATGAAGGTACAGTGTGTTGCATGGACAGCGGTGCAGCTACCCACCTTGGGCAGCTGTGAGCAAATCTGAAGCCACGCAATTCTGTAAAACTGCCTTTTTCACTTGGGTTGTCTCCTGCATTAATAGTCTAAGCACTGGATGAGGGACATTAAACGCAGGGGCCGGGTGTTCCGCGAGGGCCTCTGTATCTAACTGTGCCTTAACAGCAGCTCCCCCAGAAAGGCAACAGCTAAGGAACCACCGGGGCGTGGGCTGTGTGCGGTGCCGTAGGGAGCACACTGCGTCCCAGCTCTAGGGCCGTGCTGGGAGGGAGGAAAGAATATCATGGGAATGTAAGGATGCCCCAGGTACAACGTCCTGACCAATTGGCAGGTAAATAGGACCACACATATTGACTGGACACCCATAAATATCCTCTGGGAGCCATATCTATGGGTACCACTCCATGGTATTTTTCCCCACTCCACCACACAGTGGAAGCAGGGACATGAGTGATGCTGAGACAGAGGTGCAGGTGTCTGTCCCGCTGTGCTGCTGAGATCAAAATGTTGCCCAACGCCTCTCACAGTAGAGTTCTACATGCCGTGTATTAGAGCACTACCCACTCCCGGCCAGTAGGGGCAGTATGTCCTGTGGAGTGGTCGCCCTGTATTACCTCATCCGAGCAGATTTTTGCCAGCTTTGTAGCTGTCATCCAACTCAGGTCCCTGTATCTATTTCAGCAAGACAAAGCCGTCCAATTTTGTGCCAGTGCCACAGCAAGACACCAAGAGAAACCTCCCTCGGCATTAGTGGGGATGTCTAGCATACCCAACGGAGGGAAGCACTATGATCCCTTGCCCCAGAGGGGCATGAAATCATATTATTTCCCATAGCTATCCCAATTAGACAATTAAGAAGTAAATAGATGATCCAGATGCCTGTCACTTGCTGGAAGTCCAGTCTCACTTTTGTTGTGGGCCTCCTGAAAGCAGACTTTTGACCTAGAATAGAATTAAGACTTTGGTACCATATATACAAGGGGAAAAAAACCTATCTGAGTGAGTGTGAGCTCAGAGCAGAATTGTTGAAGCTGGAGATCACAGAGAATCTCCAAAAGGTTACTGTCGGCGAGGGGAGTAGATAAGATGGAAGTTTTGGGGCCAGAATATCAAGGACTGTTTTGGAAGAGGTTGGGGGAAAAGCCATTCTTTGGCAGCGTTGTTACTACTCTTGGACGTAGGTGTGAGATCTTGATGACGTGGGCTTTGCAGAAGAGCAGATGAGGGGTGATTTAGCCAGCTACAGGGCGGAGAAGTGTACCCAATATGGAAAGCCCTTAAATTCAGCTCTTACATTGTGAGAGCTATTTTCTGAGGTCCATCCCATTTGGGGGGCAAGGGGTCTAATGAGGCCCATATGTAAGCCCAGGCCCCTGGTGTGAGGGAGGGTTGAATTCCTTAGGGAGTAGTAAGGTTTCAGGATTTGAGTCTCAGTATATGAAACCCACTTACTTAGGGACGCACGTAGGGAAATGACAGGTGAGGGATCCTGGTGCAGGGAGACGTTGGAATCAACTGTCTGATGGTGTGGGGCTTCCATACAGCAATTCAAAGGGCTCAGCACAGCAGGCCTGTGAGGGAGAGCTCCCAACTCTCCGGGGTGTGTGGACAGCCAGTGGTAGGTGCTGGACCCGATGCTGTTGGGTTTGTACAGTAAGCTTAGTGAGTGTGTTCGCTCTTTCTACTTTTCCTGGTGATGGGGTATGATAAAGAATATGAAAGTGCCGGTTTATATTGAGATTTTGTCAGGCGTTGAGAAATCTGAGAGGTAAATTCTGGTCCATTATCTGACTGCAGGGAAACCAGGAGCCCAAACGTGGGCTGATCTCAGTCAGGAGGATGTGAGCCACAGTAAAACCCTTTTCTTGATTGTTGGGAAGGCCTCTACCCACGCTGCGCTTTTATCTACCCAGAGCAGTAGATAGCAGGTCCTCTCCATGGAGGGGTAAGAGTAAAGTCCATTTGCCAGTCTTTACAGGCAGATGGCTTCTCGCCCTGTCATCTTTAGGAGGAAAAGAGACCCTGCATGAAAGTGTAACACAGCTCGGCAAGGAGAGGCATATTCGAGCCCGGGGCAGGGCTAGTTCTCTGTAAGAACCACCACAGCTTAGGGAAGGTGGCTTCTTGCTCCTGAGGCTTCTATTCCTCCCCCTACTGAAGGCTGGTGAGACTGATAAGGGGAAGAGATGTCCGTGGAGGTGGGGGCTCAAGGTTACCTTACTAGGCAGGGACTGTGGGAAATTATTTCTGGTTTTGTTACTGATAAGGGAAGGAGTATGTGGGTGGAAAGAGCCTAAGGTCACTCCACAAGCCCAGTCATCTGCCGTGTGTTTTCCTGCAGTGGCACGCCTCTCCCCCTTGGATGCCCCTGCAATCACTGCGGCCCTGGCCGGAAGAAGGGCTGCCTGGAATGGCCATGGATCAGCTCTGCGCTTGCAGTGGGCATTCCTTTGGCTGATAAAAAAAAATCCCCTTTCCTGTCAGATTTGTGCATTGGAATGTAGGCTATTTCAGGCATATTTAGAATCAGTAATGTTAACAGCCCCAGCCTTTGCTAAAGTCAGCACCCGGTTAGTGCCATAAACTCAGCGTGTGTGAGGTGGTCCCGTTGGGAACTGGAGTGGCCTCAATCACTCCTCTGCAGGGGAAGCACATTCACTGTCAGGAGCCCCCTACCGTAGCATAAGCAGCCTGGTAAGGGGGTGTTCTACGGGCACTACCATCAATCAACAAATAGAGGCTCCCAGGATATGGGTAGAGGGTAGATGGTGACAAACTGCTAAGGAAAACTGTCTTGGGGTAGGAGTGGTCCTCAGCATTGCTGTGTGCCGGTGTAGGCGGAAGCATGGCCGGATTTACAGGGGGCTGTGGCAGAAAGACACCAAAGGCTGTATTAGGGTAGAGTATGACTTGAGTTCCAGGAGAGACAGGGTGGAGGGCCCTGCGGTTTAAGGAGTCTGGTAATCCATGAGAGGCTCAACCTTGAAGAGGCTGACGGGAAATCGTTTTCTGAGTTTTTGTGAGTGGGAGGCCCCGGCTGCCTGATTTAAGGCAAAGCCGCCAGCTCCGGTAGGCAGAGTCAAGCTGCTGCGGAAAAACAGCCTACCAGAAGTAGGCAGCCCCCTGCAGGTTGTGCTGAGTCCCAGGGCCTGCGGTCTTATGGCTGGATATGGAGGTGAAATGGCCTGTCCGGGTTAGGGAGGTGCAAAGCAGGTCCTGGTTAGGATCCTCTTAAGCTCCTTAAAGGCATGTGTCAGCATCGGGTCAGAAGGGAGAAATTTCTTAGGGTGGCCCCTGGAGGCATCATAGAGTGGTTTGGCTGTGACAGCAAAATTATAGATCCACAACCTGAAGCCCCCAAAAAAGAGAGGAGCTTGGGCTTAGTCTTAGGGAGTGGTAGGGAAGGGACTGTGGCCCTTCACTCTTCTGGAATCTCATGAGTAGTGGGGGTGATATGGAGACCCAGGTAACAGGAAACATAAGCTGGGCTTTGTGTTTAGAGACCTTCTAACCCTTTCTGCTGGAAAGTTAAGGAGGACAGTGGTCTGAGCGTGGCTTATCTTCCTGGTAAGGCAATGGAGGAGATCATCAACATATTGCAGGAGGATGCTATGGCTCAAACGAAGGTCAGAAAAGTCTCCTTGGGGTGCTTGCCCAAAGAGATGGGAACTATCATCAAATTCCTCTGGCAGAACTGTCCACCACAGCTGCTATGTAAAATTAGAATGAAGACTGGTCCAGGTGAATGTAAAGAGATTCCGAGCAGAAGGATCTAAGTGAATTGTAAAGAACGCATGCGTCTTTGAGATGCAGGACTGAGAAACATTGCGTTGGGGTATTCGGGACAGGAGACTGTATAGGTTAGGGACCGCGGGATGGACAGGACTCTCTGCAGGGTTTATTTTAGGTCTTTCCTGTCTGCTAAGCCTTTGGTCCCGACCTCGCTCACTGCTCCTGAACCCTTAGGCCAGAGACCACCAGCATGTGTTTATGAATACTGGCTTCTCCTTTGCCTCCAAATAAGTCTGGACTCCCCCAACGAAAGAATGACAGTTGGCTGTTTCTGGATTTGTACAGAATTGATGTTCCTAGAATCCTTAACACCCTACCAAAGAGAAATCTCTACAAACTAACATTCTTCTTTTATATCCACAGCTGTGAAAATTCAATATGGTAAGACTAGTCTCAACGCCAATGCATAAAAACCCACAAAATGCTCACTGCTCAGTTTCAGGAAGCCTTCTGTACTCTTTCCAGGGGAGGAAATCTGGCTGGTTTTGCTATTTTGAAAACCAGAAAAAGACAAAATTTTAAGATAAACTCCAGAACACACATATGCGGTATTTTTAGGAAATTTCTAAAGAAATATAAAATCATGCTGTTTAATTTTACTAGGTACGTTTATTAGATTTCAACTTTTTGAAAACTGGATATTATTATATGGTATATAGGGTTAATCACTCATCGTTCAGCCGTAATCCCAGGAACTTTCTTCCACAAATAAAAATAAGGTTGTTTTCTTATCATATTCATATTTGTGCTTCCTGATCTTTCATCATATCTTTAAAATTTGGGGTTAATCTCAGCTTGAAAATGCTTAAAACCAAACTAGTATCCACGGCCCACTATAACCCTTCCCCTTCTGTTAAATATCACTAATACAATACGCCTGAGCCATATTGAAGCCACACATGATTGAAAACCAGTTAAAAATGAATGTCAGCAGGGGCTGGCGGTTTAGCTCAGCGGCAAAGCACCTGCCCAGCAAGCGTGAAGTCATGAGTTCAATTCCCAGTACCAAAAAAAAAAAAAAAAAAAAGAGAATATTGGCAAATCTTTGGGACATAACTGAATTCTCTTTATTTTTCTTTAAAAAGAAACACAACCTAAAGCTTTAGGTTTACAAGCAAACATCTTAATTGTCATTGTATTTTTATAACACCAATCAACTGTAAGATCTGACAAAGCCAGTTTCTAAATCTTCCATATATCTCTTTAGCTGAATTAATGAGAAAGTTAAATTCTGAAAGCAAAGTATCTCTTACGTCCTGAAAATAAAGTGATTGACCAAAATACTTAATATAAACATAAAAGAAAAAGTATATCTATGCAAACATATGAGCATTTGGATATAGTTCTGGGGCGTTGTTTATAAGCTGTGGTCTTCATCTAAGTCATGCCGGTTGCAGTCATGCACTGCACAGGGACATTTCCGTCTAGGATGGGACACTTGTACGTACCACCCGATGACATCATATCATCTTGGTTTCTGCACATGCACCCTATGACCATCGTGCCACACCATTTATCCAACCACATTTCCACATGGCTGTCCTGAGTAGAGTTCTGGGTATGGCTTTAACCCCAACATTTAGGAGGCTGAGGCAGGAGGATTATGAGTTTGAAGCCAGCCTGGATTACAAAGTGAGTTACGGCCAGTCTGGACTATACAGCAAGGCCCTGCCTCAAAAGCAAAAACAAACTCCTAAGCATAGAAATGGAAAGTACTACCTCTGGGTCTTTCTTTCTGAATGCTCTCAAGTCATGTAAAACATGGATTAAATAAAACTGCTACACTTTTCTCGTGTTGCTCTGTCGTTTGTTCAGGGAGTATCAGCTGTGACCTTTACAAGAGAACAGGCATCCCATCTTTCTACCCGATGCTAGTGAATGGTCATTCTGAGCTCATTCTGTTGCAGTTGAATAACTGATCTCAGAAGCAGACTCGCCTTCACTGGGACCTTCGAGGTCCCCTGTGTTCTGGCTTCTAAGACGGGCTCATGTACTCTTCTCCCTTTCCCTCTCCGCAGGCAGGAAGGATGTAGGGAATTGTGGAGAGCAGAGCAGCAAGCTGGACAGGCGACAGGCACAGCGAACACACACCAAAGTACTTTCCCCAAAAGTAAGCCCGACTTAATTTGACCAAAAATCTTACAAATGTCTTTTAAGAGTTTTCTTATAGTCAAGGTAAGACTTCAAAATGTGCAGCAGGGTAAGTCTTATATGTACCTATGAAAATGAAACTTCGTCTTGTCTGTCTGAGTAATTATGGACACAAACCTTGAAAGGTACCATCCCTCTGATTTAGCGCTATACGGAGCCAGACGTACAGCTCAGGGGGAGAGCACTTGCACAAGGTTCTGTGTTCAATGCACAGAACCAGAGCCAGAGAGAGAGACAAAAAGAGGGAGGGAGAGTCAGAGAGGAGAGATGGACACAGAGACAGAGACAAAGAGAGAAGAGAGAAAGGAGACAGAGAGGGAGAGGGACAGGGAGAAAGAGGGACAGAGCCTTCAAACAGTATCACTTTATAGGCAAAGTCATTCCTAAGGTACTATCCTTACGTCCTTCCCCTCTCTCTTCCCTTCCTAAGCCCCACCCAGTCAAGTCCTACCCTACAGTGGGCGGGACTTCCGAAATCACACTCTTGTTTCTGTCTGCTCTCTTTCTTGCGGATCTTCGCACACTTTTATGAAATCAGCCTTTCCAACTTCCAACTAAACAGCTGAAAATACTTCAAGTGTTCATACTGTGCCATCTGGTGGGAATTCATTCCTTTCCAGGCAGAAGCAAACCAGAGAATTTTTCTGGCCTGTATTTTCCTGGTTCTGTTCTTACGTTCGGCCCAATCACAAGGACAATCTGATAAATTTTACAACCAAGCGTCTGAGGCCCGTCTCCAGCCGATCTACGGACCTTGTCAACTCAGTGTTTTTCCAAAACAGATTCTTTCATCTGCTCTGTAATCTTTCTAAATTAAATAAATAAAACCTAAACCAAACTTTTACTCTGTCTCATGAACATGTATCAAACGAATGTGTTGTTCTTAAATCTGCCCCTTTTTATCCTAAATAAGTTTGTATTTTAAGTAAATATTGCAATAGCTTTGATATAGGGAGAAATATAACTCCCGACCTGGTAGATGTCAAAAGAGCTGCGTTCGTGGTCCCACAACACCAAGGAATGAAGGTGCAAGCCAAAGGAAGAAGCTAGGGGAGTTATGTAGGGAATAAGGAGAGAAGAATAGCTCCTGGATTTCTAGGAGGTGCACCGAATGGCGTGGCCACTGAGGCCCTTTGCCAGGGGGAGTTTATACAGCAAAGTCACAATGTGGGCACAATGCAGGTCAGCTACAACCAACCTATAGGATTACAACGGCCACTTAGCTAATATTGATCCAACAGGGAAACAAGTCGTGTAGCAAGCAAGGGTGCAGAGAAAGCACAGAGGCATTTTTGGGAAGCGATGGGTACAGATGCTCAGGTCACCACGGATGCCTGCCTGGACTTCCTGGACCAGGAGGTGCTAATTACAGTATAATCTCAAGTTACTGCTTCTCCCTTAGGCAGGCCTTCAGGCCTGGCCATTGCATCTTCCTCCTGAGGCCCGGCCTTCTTCGGATGTGCCCCCAACCACAATTCTGATGCCTACATTTTTGTGCAGGCTTCCTTGAGAGCCCAGTCCCTCTCTGACTGTATGTTAATTTCTATCCAACTTAACTACCTATAATAGCTTTATAAAACCATGCACAAATGGTATTTTCTTCTTGTGTGGCCTGCAAGACTACTTAACCGTGCCATCTGAACACCACGCCGATTAGGACTGTCTGCTGTATTTCCTTATTTTTTACAGGATGCCAATTCCACAGCCTTTCACTGGCAGGACGTTCTTTTCTTTACTAACATTTTTCCTGTATTTATCAATGAATAGTGCATAGTACATAGAATTCAAGAATGACTTCAAGATTCTATATCCCATTAATTATACTAATTACATCCTCTGTACTAAACCATTGGTTGAGGGAGTTATGTCTTAGTTTCTTTTCTCATCACGGAGACAAAATACTTCAACACCCAAAGTTAACAGGGAAAAGGTTTATTTAGCTCACATTTTGTGGTGGTTTCAGTCCATAATCGGCTGACTCCAAAGCAGGGTGGCTTGGCAGAAGGGGATCAAGAGTAGAAACAGTTCATGGCGGCAGAAGACAGCAAGCAACAAGGGAAGGGGGAGACAAGCCTCTTTCTGTCCCTTATCTTGTACCCCATCTACTAGGATTAGGGCAGTGCCAATCCAATCAGCAGACTGACCCAGCAATCGCCCACCCTTAACCCTACCACCCTTAATCCCAGCATTGCACAATCACACACTCTAGATTCAGCCACCTCCAAAAAACATCATCGGATGGCATGAAGTTTTGGAGGGACACCTAGACACAAACAGGTGGCTTTTCCTTTTTTTTCTTTTTAGACAGGATCTCACTATACTACGTTGCCCAGGCTGCCACAGAACTCCTGGGATCAAGTGATCCTCCTGCATCCACCTCTCAAGTAGCTAGGACTATAGGCGCATTCCCACCACCCCCAGATCAAGGATGAATTTCTATAAGAATGTTTTTCTTGGCCTCTTCTCTCATTTCAGGTTGGAATCCCCCACAAGGAGTCTCAGCATGGATGCGCCGAGGGGCATACATGTCAATGCGCGTGCTGGTAACATCGAGGCCCTTTCTCAAATGGACATCATTTTTCAAAGTAGTGATGGAATGGTGAGTCTAACAGCCCCAGTCCTGTCGTGTGTCCTGAGGATCACGTGCAAGGCATCAGCTCGTGAAGTTTCTGGTAGTGTGTGGGAAGCATTGCAAAGGCATAGGATAGAAAACATTGAAAGGACAGTAGAAGACACTGTAGCCTCAGAAGAAGGGCCAAGAAATATTAAAGCTATGCTGTATTAGATCCGCACAGCTTTCTTCAGTATTTGAGCTATCAAGACACTTGTTATTTTCAACGATGAAAAATGCTACAGACTTTCAGAACTTACTGAGGCCACCAATTTTGCCATTTCCTAATGATCCAAGTTCTGTCTGGATGGCTGTGCGGAGGAGATATCTGAAAATGACACCCATCCTCTGTCCCTGACCAGGGTGCTGTGTAAACTCCCACAAAGCTAAGTGTAAATAAAAATGAAAGACAAAAATAAGAGCATGTTTGAAAGTCAAGTACAGTAAGGATAAAATCTACAAATTCAAACTTAGAAATAAAGTACAACTCACACAAGTCACGTCATAACAAGACAGTGGAGCGCCTGCTACTCAGTGTCAACTGTGGGCACTTTGTTTGTTAAAAAAGGAAAAGCTCCACCTCAGCCTGCCAGAAAATCAGGCATTTGGGGACATTCCCTAAAGGTATGGCCCGAAGGCTGATTCCAGTCACATGATGCCGTATCACAGATTTACACAAACAACTGATTTCATCTCAGCCTGGTCCTTGGTATTTCCATATGTAGAAATGTGTTCAAAATAAGCATTGCTCCCTGAGTTTTCTTTTAAGGAGCTTCAGTTTAACAATTTGCCATGAGTGGCTCGGGCTGTACCTGTTTATGCCGCCAATGCCTGGCCACGTGGAACAAAGTGCACGTCTGTGTACACAGTTGGTACAGTGAGTGGGCACGTCTGTGTACACAGTTGGTACAGTGAGTGGGCACACGGTGCCCTGCTCCTTGCCAGCCCCGCCCCTCATCACACAGGTGACGTGCCCAGACCCGGCTCAGAAAGCACAGCACAGTGGGTGGATTCACCAAAGGGAGGAAGCCCAGGTTCTATTGCTGGATATATTCCCTAAATACCTATTTCAGTTCTAGATGGCAGGCCGTCTCCTCTTCATTTATCACTCAGGGAACCTACATGCTTAACTAGGCCACAGGGTCCTGAGACACTAATGTGACATTCTGAACTGACATTAACATGAATAGGAAGGTGTAGCTGAGAGGCACGTAGATGTGGTATCTTCCTCAAGCAGGGCAAGAGCAGCCACCCCAGGTGTGTGGATGGGACCGGCCAGCAGCAGCCTGTCCCAGCAGAAGGAGGGACATCAAGGCATCTGGAGAAGCCAGTGAGAGCTGCAGTGCATGAAGCGATGGTAGAGTATAAGTTAGGAGCAGATAAAGGCAGAAATAGAAATCAGGAGTTTTAGAATCTTACCGTAAGTCATGTCTCTACATGCTTAAAATGTATTACCTCCAAAAAACTGAAACTGATCTTAATTTTGTAGACACTGCCAACCTCCATGAGTTAGCTATCATTTTTACAAGCAGCACATAGCCAGCCCCACACATAGAGCTGGTGTTACTTATTACCAGGAGCTAATTCAAAGTGAAGAGGCAGATGTCCGGCCTCTCACTAAATATTGCTCCATTGTTACGACTTGTGTCTGGATGTCCCCCTAAAGCCTCATGCAGCCACAAGCAGGGCTTTTCAGAGGTGGCTGGATCTAGGGTGTGTGCTGCTGGGATCAAGGGTCCGATGCTAGGATTAAGGGTGTGACTGCTGCCCGCCCTAAAGGTAGGCCACTTGGATAAGATATAAGGGACAAAAAGAGGCCTGTCTCTGGTTGCTTGCTGCCATGCTGCCATCTGCCTTCTGCCTGCCCTGCTTTGCCATGAACTGTTTCTGCTCTGTGAGGCCCCTCTGCCATGCCGCCCTGCCTTGGACCCAGCCGGTTATGGACAAAACAGGAGCCAAGTGAACCTTTCCTCCTTTGAGCATCGGGGGTCTTTTTCTCACCCGGAAATGCAGATGAATAAGGACAGGAAGTAGTGTGGGCTGCCAGTGGCTAGAGCTTCCTGGGAGAGTAGGGGAAGATACTTTTTTTCTAGGTAACTAGAAGAAAGTGCCCATTTTACCATGAGAAAGGGGAGTGGGAGAGCCAACACGTTAAAAGCCTGCTAGGGAAAAGCAGGTGCACAAAGAATCCCAGGCTTTGGAAAGTAACCTAAAGAGGTGCTGTGTTTTAAACGATCACGACCGGACTTCCCCTGCTGACAGCGTGCCAGAAGGCAAGCTCCGCCTGTCATGCCGCTAGCACTGGGCCCTCACTGCACGTGGCGGGGTCCCCATCCCAGGGCAACAAAGGGCAGATACCTATACGTCGGTAGGCTGGAGCTCATGGGTGACAGCTGTGCGAAATAAAGGAAGACTGACTGCCTTAGCAAGGCAGGAAATTCTCCCTACCCACAACACGCTAATTCCTTCTAGCAAGGGAACACCCTGGGACAGCTGCTAGGATGCCTGGGACAGTGTCTACTTCCTTATCCAAGAGGGTTCCCAGCCTTCATCAATGGCTATCTGTTTGCATTTCAGTACAACTAAATTATACGACCAGAAAACCTAGTCACTTTCACTGCACAGTACTTGAACTAGCGTTAGTCTGTGCCTATACCTTCTAAGAGTAAGCAGCAGAGACCTGAGTAATATAAGGATATAGAACAGCTGATAAGGTGAATTTAATTGCCTCTCACAGGAAAACAAAATCACAAGTAAAATCAGCATAGATTCTGAAATCCACAGGGAAAAATTTCTATTAAGATGAATTTATTGCTGTGGACTATGTTGTCTTAATGGGGAGATGATTTAGTATGAAGTCAAATTTATCACAATAAATGTGAATCAGCAAAATTGTTGTTTTTTTAAATAACTTCAAAAGACACTTTATTTTTTTTTAAACCGGGAATCGAACTCGGGACCTTGCCTTGCCAGGCAGGCGCTTGCGCCAGTGAGCTATATCCCTGCAACTTTAGAAGTATCACAGCATGAAACTGAGAAGCAATCCAGTCTATTGAACACAACTGGCCAATTTTCCCAGCTGGACCAGCTCAGTGGGTAAACGAAAAGTGGCCCCCCTTTGATTGGAGGAGAAATTGCCAAGCCCCTGTCTACATGCAAAATAGAACTTGGCTTTCAAGGAGCCAGGTAATTCTGATGAGGTCAGGTGCTTGTTTCACTTGCTATGAAAAGGAACTAATTTTCATGAAACCCTTTCAGGATACGAATTTCCTGGTGACCCATTTCATTCCTCCTTTACATCTCCTCTCTCACTTTCTCGCAAACAGCTCGTGCTGGACGCTGAAACCCTGTGTTTACCCAAGCTGCTGCAGGGGACCCAAGGTCGCCCTGGCAGCCTGCAGGGACTCTATGAAATCTGCGCGTGTCCGGACGGGAAGCTGTACCTCGCCACGGCTGGCGTGGGCACCACATGCCAGGAGCACGGTCAGGTCTGTCTCTGAACTGCTGCTCCTTCCAAGACGGCCTGCTTCCTTCCTTTCAGGGAGCTGAGCCTGCGGCCCGAGCCTTCACACCCAGGAGGCGTGGGCACCAAGCCTGAGCATGGAGTTGGATGGAGGAAGACCCGTTTTCCAGAGGATTCCCCGCAGAGAAATGTGGCTGAGGGAGCGCTCAGAACTCAACACGTGGGTGTGAGACACAAAAACTGCAGAAATGTCAGAAGAACGTGTTTATTTCACTGGATCTTGGCTACTTTCCATCAGAACATTGTGACCTTCCTCTTCCCATCTGTCCTCGCTGACCTGCACGTGGAATTAACTCACGATGCTCATCGGCGGATCTGTAACTACTCGCGAAGTGGGGCCGGTCGGTGCCAACACACCTCAACGTCCAACCTCAGCGGCAGGCAGTGGCAGGTTTCGCAAGAGAATGTGCAGATTTTCAAGACAATTTAAAGTTCATCTGATTTTTAATATGTAGTCAAGGAAATAAATTACACACAATCAGTCACACGCAATAAAAGTCAACCTGCATTTTTCACAGAATTCAGTGTGAGAGTCTTACCTTCTTTAATCCTCACAGCTCTTATGTACTGTTTTCCCCAACTTACTGGTGACAGACTCACGCTGTCTCAGGGTCACAGGTAACTACTGAAGCTTACCAAAATTGTGACCTTAAATTTGCGTAGCTGCTTTCACTTGGAAAAACTCTGATGTAATGTCTCATTTCACCTCAAACGCCAAAATACATGAGAACTGTACAGCTGGGATACAGCTAACTGACAAAGGAAGACCTGAAGCCCAAAGGGCATTGTTACCTACTGAGATCAAACAGCTGCTAAGTGGCAGGATTTACACTAGCTCTGCCCGGGTGCTTTTTTCAGCACAGAAGGACCGAGTGCAGCTACACAGAAGCACACTCCTACTGTCTGTGAAAATGTGGTTCGTGCCAACTGTGTGGAAATGGATCTAAACCAAACAGGGCACACCAAACTTGTGAGAACAGGTTCATTTCACGCAGATCACTCACTCACTTTATAAAATGTTCCCCATCCCAAGAGAGGGTGTGCTTGTTCTGTTACGACCAGTTCTTTACAGTTCCCAAAAAGCTACACATATAGTGACCAACAGCATCCCAACTTTCTAATACATGCTTTGTGATACAAGTTCAAAGTTATTTTCTAGTCTCAGAATCAAAAAATTAGAAAAGCAAACATGAGTTCTAGTGCCGCTTTAATAAGGTAGTAACAGTTTAACCCCCTCATAACTCTATAGAGTTTTAAGTTGCTATTATACAACTAATGAAATTACAAGATAAAAACACAGGCCTTCTTAAAGCAGCTAAGAGCAAAGTCACCTCTCAACTGTAATGTTCCTCAAGTTTCACAGGGGGTTGGGCGCTTTTAATTATAAATTGGTGTCTACTTTTTCCATTTAGTTAAGTCCTGAATTTTAAAACTAATAAATGACTTCCATACTGCAACATGCCTAGTGTCCTTACTAAACCATTCTGTTATTGTCCCATATTTGGTCTCCTAAATATGGAAACGTTTGTGCAAAACAAACATCTTCAAGCCTGACTGACCTAACACAGCATCGCTGAACATTTACAAATCAGTTTGGCTTTCCAAGAAACAGTGTTTAGATGATAAAGAAGTCAAGAAAAAGAATCCAAGAGAAAGTATGAAGAAGAATACAGAGAACAGAACACTGAATAACGTGTACAAATTTTACTTTTTTCTTTTTATAGGGACTCACTGTGAAAGTTATGAATCATTGCATTCTCCAAAGTAGTAAGGAAATTTATACTTCATCAGATTGGAAAATTAGATAAGCTGTATCCTAAAATCATAAAAACACTACACGTCATTTAAATTTTTACTGAAGTCCTAAGGTCATGATGATGGACTTATCTAATGAGGCACATAGACCACTATTAGACTGAACGGTCACACTGAGGAGTGTTGGTATTTTAAGGATTCAAAAGCAGCACTTCTTTTCAAATTTATAAACCCGCTGAGAAGACATGCGTCAAAAAGATGAAGAGGTGTCCATCTTAGCAGTAAAGATATTCGAGTCCGTAGTACACAGAATTCCTGATACTTCACAGCTAATACAGCACAAGTTCTGGGCTACCAGGCAAACTGCAGCTTCCTGCAACTTCCTACGTGGAGGGGAAGGGAGGGACACACCCTTTTGTGAAGGCCACCAACTTCCCATTGAAAGGGTAGAGCCACATCTGTGGAGTCCTTCCCATAGTTCCCCTGCCACAAAGTCGTTCTTTGAGGAAGAGCAAATGAGGGTGGAAATTTTCAAAAAGGAAGAACCCTTCACAGGGCTTTATGTTGTGTCCGTTTTGTGTAATTTTGTCCCCTAACAGCTCATCTTATTTGGCTTTGGCAGTCTTCTCCGTATTTAAAATTCCACTTCAATGCCGCTGCAGTATAGAAGTCAAATACATTTTCTATCAAATATAAATGAGTTCGCCCGGCACTGCTAACAAAAAGCACATCTGTCAGTGGGCGGGCAGTGCCACAAAAGTGTCTTCTTAGAGGCAGGGCTCTGTCCTCAGGGCAGGTGGGGTCTTTCCAAAATTGTAACTACACATACATTTTCAACACAGCTTTTACTTTAAAAATGTGATCTGGCTTTAGACTCTACATGGACCAGTTTACATTTAACAGGTAAACCACATCAGACTATGGCCTGGCAGAAATCCACAGCCGGGATGGAATGTGCTGCTGGGTCCCCACTGCTAACAGTGTGCGGACGTTACTTTGTCAGATCCCTTGAAAATGAGATGAGCTGCGGGAAGGTTAGAAACCAGCGCTGGACGCAATTCCACCCGCAGATGTCAGCTCCTCCAAGCGTTTCCAGCCTGTAGGCCTGTGTGTACACTGAGTACTTGCCAGTCCCCCTCCCCCCAAATCATCAGGCAATCAAGTCCTGGCATAACAAATCACGTGTGTGTAGGGGTGTCTGATTCCGTTCCTTTGTTAGACCCTCGAAGGACATGTGGCTAAGATCTGATTGCTATTTTCTACACATTACAGACTATAGACGCTACTCGTGAGATCTGCAACTGTCAGCTGGCACTGCCTGAAGAAGCAGACCCCACTCACCCCCAAGTCAGACCTGGGAAAACCTTCCCAGTGTCTTGTTGAACGTTAATACAGTACTTTGTGCAAAGCATTCCGGGGTCCTCAGCACTCTCTCTTTTTGCCCCCACCCCTGCTTTATGACCTCAGAGCACGGTGTAGGGTCCTCACCCACCTCCGGGCCTCTCACTGGAGGCACTCCGCCCCGCCCCGGGGAGGGAGGACACCGCCCCACCCCTCGTTCCATCTGTATGCGACTCAGGAGCACCTACTCCAGGCACCCAGCTCCTGCTATCTTTTTAAAAAATGAAAGAAGAATATGAGGAAAATGTACAAAATAGTAAAATATACAAATTAGTTCCCAGCAAAATTCCTTAGGCTCTTTTCAAAGTCTCAAACTACATGCAAAGTAAAAATTTCAAATGCGTGTGCTGCATCTCAGTGGTGACGAAACCTGACCTGAACTTGCACGAGGAGTGTGGCCGCTGAAGGCGCACCGCAGAAATACGGCTGTGTCCGCAGGGCGCTGCCCAACCCTCGGGACAGCGTTTCGCTCCGTCTACATGCCTTCACATTAACTTCCTAAAATCGAACTCGGAAACACACCTGAGTCCAGTGCTTCACAGAAGGGATTGTGAACCTGTGCTTTTAAAGAGTTTAGAAAAGTAAATTCAACTAGATCAACTATCACCAAGGCAAGGCTTTCTGCATAAATTTAAACACTGAAAACCAAACACACTGTAAGTGCTGAATATGAGATTCAAAGTAGCAAGCACTTTTTATTACTTTTTCTTCTTTTGGTGCTTTGAAACAGGGTCTCGCTAGATAGTTGAATTTATGGCAATCCTCCTGCTGGAGCCTCCCAAGTGCTGGGATAACAGGCATGCACTACCTCCCCTGGCTGCACTTTTAAAATAACGCTGAAATCCCAGAATCCGGGTAGCCCTAGAACAGAGAACTCACAGGCCTTGTCTGCCTAACTTTGAAGACTTGTATCTTAGGTATAAAGATGACTTTTTTTATCAGTTGAGGCTCAAGTGTGAATTAGCCTCACATATTCAAGCTATCCCTTGAGGCAAAGAAATGCAATTCCTGATATTTCCAATAAACACACATATATCAGTACATGCGTATGAAAAATAAGCATAGGAAGAAACCAAATTTAATTTCCAATGAACTAGTCCTCAGGAAATTCCAGTTACAACCATTTAATATGTACATTTTGCTTTATTAAAATTATGGCACTGAATATATAACAGCAGAAATAATTACATGATTTCACATCCAAAAGCAACAACACAAGTGTGTGAAGCCTACATTCCTTATTACCAATAAAAGTAAAAACCTTTAATACGGTCTGTAAGCCCTTCATTGCATAAAATATTGTATTTAGCATCATTTACAGCCACTTATGTAAACTAATTATTACTCCTTTATTTTGACATTCTGCTAAAGAAACATGAAGTATGGCAGGACACTTGAACATGATGAAAATCAAAAGTGGCCTCCGAATCTTTTAAGGGGAAAGGCAAGCTGACAGTTCCTCTTTCATAAACTAATGGAAATTACCCTGATGACTTTAACAAGTTTTTAAAGTAAAATCCAAAAAACTCCACTAAGTGCCATTATTGAAAGGTTTTTTTTAACTACAGCACCTTTAGACACAAAAGGTTGTATCCTGTTCAACCACACTATATAAATTAGGACAACTGTGGAAAGTATGCACACACAAACGTAAAGCAAATGTTCTAACCACTGATAAATGTCTTTTGGTGAGCAGTGTGCATGAGCAACATTCCGTCCGGGAAGGAGAGCCGCCACTGTGCTGTTGTCCGTAGGTCATTCCACGACGCGGGAAGCTTGTAAACATAAGGTATAAAACAACACTGAAAGACGCACGGTGCACCCAGTGCACCCTAAGCACTGCCTCCATACACCTCAAGTAACAGGATGAAATACTGTACCATTTTCAAATGTACCGAGGAAGATGGAAAACTGCAGCAAATTCATAATCAGAGCCAGCTGATCAGAAAATAATGCATCCAAGAGGATCCACTTTAAAAAAATGATAGAACTCTAATGACTTGATTCCCCTTTTATGTTCACACCAAAGGTATGTCCAGTGTTTCAGTAACTCCTTCAAAAATACCTTTAAGACATAAACTTAACTTCATCCTAACTAGAGACACACAGACCCTTCTCTAACACGGCTAAGCTTTGGTTATAGAAAGTGCAGTTCAACAGTGTGCCATCCCATCTTCAAACACACCGACTTCGCAGTTCACCACCATCTCCAAAACAATTCTCTTTTAGTTTCTGTTAAGGGTTTCTGTTGCTTTCACATTAACAATAACTCCGGAAGTCCTCCAGAGCAACCCGCACTGTGCTTCACAGCTCCTGGGTGACGGGCAATGAAGTTAATGAAGGTCAGCGATCCGTGTTTGTGCTGCAACACCCGAGGTCCGCCTCTGCTCTGGGCCTTCACCTCACACCTTCTGCTGTATGAAGTTTTCGAGCTTGATGATGATGCAGGCAGTACATTCCATCACTCTCATGGCGACCTCCGAGGTGAACCTGTCATTTGGGATCTGTGGGAAAGGAAGCAAGTCAGGGTACCTTGTTTTTAAACTGTCGACGCCGTAAGCCTCCAGCGTGTGCACATCATTGGTCAGGCCTTCAAGCTGCTGACTATACTCCTCTATTTTCTGTGCGAGCGCAGCTGGTTTTACGTCCTTATCAGACTTGCCCCGCACGGCGTAGTCAGCTGCGATCAAGGCTAGCTTGGTGGAAAGGTAACACTTAAAGCACACCCATTCATTGGCGTTTTTATGAAGGTCGTTCCTGGCAGCCGAAAAATTTGCTCTGGCTTGTCGCAACCATCTCCGTGCTTCCACTGGATTCCCCACCGACTTGAACGTCGGGGGGACAAAGAACCTTTGAGAGTACGTCTGTCCTGCCGGAGGGGGGCACTTTTCCTTATTCTGTTGCTGCCTTTCAGACTTATGGCTCGTTGCCTCTTGATTCCACGAAGTGTAAAACCTCTGGAAAGAATACTTGTCGGACTGAAATCGAGATGCTGACGTGGAAAACGGTCGTCTCGAGGCTCGGTCCGCGTTCTGGTCTAGAAAAGCCTGCTTTTCTAATCTGCTGATCTCATTCTGCAGATGCTTGAACACTTCATTGGCAATGTCATGGTTCTCTGGGTTCTTGTCCGGGTGCCACTTCAGATACAACCGCCTGATAATCTTTTTCCGTTCTGATTCCGGAAGCTTCCAAGCTTGCTCCACCACTGATGTCACTTCTTTTAAGATTTCTGGTAAAGAGTTCACTTTCAGCTTTTTGGGGGAGTGATGCTTTGAGGATGCAGCCTTGTGGCCCTCCCTGCCAGGGAAAAGGGGCGGGATGCTTCTCAGGCCAGGGGCGAGGAACTCTGTGGGGCTGGTGGGGGTGGAAGGAGCACTGTCTCTGCTTTGAGAGCTCTCATCAGGCCTTGAAAATTTATACAGATCAAGAGAGCTGACTATTTTATATTCACTATAACCAATATCAATCTGATATATCTTTCCTAGAAAACTAGAACTGTCAGCATCTTCTCTTTCCACCTCTTGTACAATGATTGCATATGTGTATGTTGGCTGGTATGACCCATAGATATCACCACCTTCCGCATCCACGAGGTACCCAACGTACTCGCCGGGATAGAAAACATTCATGGGATCCATCAGCAGCGTGTAATGGATCTCGCCAGGTATGGGTGTGCCGGGCATCGGAAGTTCCAGTTTTGATGGCTCTGAAGAGTCGTATTTCACTCCTAAACTGTCAAGTTTCTCACTGATCCTATAAATATCATTGCATCCCAGCATAGCAATTAAATACGAAGTGTCCGATATCAGATTGTCAGTTGCTGATTTAAGTGTCATTGCTAAGGCTAAAAGGAAATTAATGTCTTTACTGTCTGAATGCTGAATGTACAGCAAGATGACTGCATTACCAAATCTCTTCAGAAAAGCAAAAGTTTCACTTCTGCTGTGGGGAATGGGATTAAAACCTTTAACTCTCAATGTCGTTTGAAGCTTTTCAAAACAGGACACTTTCAATCCTTCCCTCAGAGCTTTGCAAAGTCTTATGGCTTTTTCTTCATTGGCTAGGAAAGCGTTATCGTTCTCATGTTTCATAATCCTAATCAGCCCCGTGATGAACTGTTCAGAAGACAAGAGTAACTGCAACCTTCCCTGAAGAGAACACAATGCTCCAAACTGACAAACTTTGGGTGTTTCCTCATCTAGCTGTTCTTCCAGGATACTGCTTAGCAGACGAGGTCTAAGCTTTTGAGGAAACAGCATTATCAATTTAGTATGAAAGCCATGGTCCTTCCCTAAGTAGCACTGGCTAAGATCAACCAACATCTGCACACCAATATTCCCCTGAATCCTACTTTTATAATGGGGTGCATCATCAAAGACTAAGATGCTCGACTTTACCAACCTGCCATCCTGGCTAGGAAGGAACAGTGCGAGGTCGCGAACGTTCTCAAGATCACTCCTTACCTTGACAGAGTCATTCTGTAGACTCTTGAACAGACCAGAAACGACTCTTTTAACTGTTCGCATTTCATTAGGATCTAACTGTTTTCCTTCAGAGTTTTTGAATATGCGGCTTAACACTTCAACATATTGCTTTGTTGAAATAATATCTTCAGTACCCAAGTGTTTGAACAACTGATGAAATGTGCCAAGCTCTAAAGGCAGCTTGTACAAGTAAGGTTTAAAATCAGACTCATATTCCAGGTTTATCACTACCTCCTCAGGTTTCAGAAGTTTCCAGCCATCCTCTACCATCACAAAAGCAATCCCCCGTAGTTGAAAACGAAACTCCCTTTTCTCTGCACTGAGAAATTCATATATGCTCCTTAAGACCTTTGCTCTAGTTTTCACCATTTCTTCATCCAGAGTTGTTATGCTGCATATATTTCTGCAGTTATTAATGACTTTATCAAGAGGAGGATCTAGGTTAACATTGAGCAAATTTAAAACTTGTTCAAGCTGTTCTTGTGGACCAAGGTCACTACCTTCTTGTTCTTTGATACTCAGAGGTGTGGCTTTCTCTGGAAGAATAGGGCAGGATGTCCACAATAGCTGCAGAACATCGCACTGCTTGAATTTTGGATTTACTTGTGCTCCGTTGAACTTTATAAGAGGCAGTGTTCCGTTTACTTCTTGATATTGAGGATGAAATCTAATGTATTCAGCGGGGGCCCGCTCAGGACACAAGAATGGGATTAAAGACAGTTCTTTGAGAAAATTTCCAGACAATAAATCTGTTCGTTCTTGGAATATGTGATGGAGAAGGATGTCAACGGTATTTTGTAATGTTTCTTTAGACCAGTTTTCTGTATTAGCTCTCATACTGATTTCCTTAGCAAACTGTAACAACTGCTGCTGAGAAAGTATGTGTTTCAGTCCAATATTTCTTAAGAATTCCACCCAGGATGTCATAAATGCAGCCTGATTTTTAGGTTTTATAAGTTGTTCCAATTTTTTAAAGAAGTCTTTAGGAATAAACAATTTTTCAGGAAGCATAACTTCAAAAACTCTCACAGTTCTATCGTAGAAATGTTTTGCCTGCTTTAGTCGACCGTTAGCATCATGGATAATCAATAAACTTTCCAATTTTTCAAAAAGTTGTTCCTTAATCTCTGATACTTCCTCAATACTTGATAATCTATTCTTAAGGTAGATCAAGTGCTCTAATTTTGCATCGTAAGAGAGATTTTCAATTTTTGGTAAGAGGTGTTTCAAATATACCTCGAGATCATCTACAGGGACACAACCAAGCACCTCATACAATTCTTTTAAATGTATTTTTTCTCCAAGAAATGCAGACGAAGATGACTGTGTCCACTTTTCCACTTCAGCTGAGGGTATACTCTTTGTTAGTACATAGCAGGTTCCAAATTTGGCAATGCTCATATAGCGGCCACTGATGGATTTGTAGCATGGAAGCGACTTTAAAATTTTTATGTCATCTTGAGACATCAAGTGATTCAAATTGCAGTTGAAATACATCAAAAGTGCTTCGAAGTCACTTTCTACTAGTTTTTCAGTTCTAAACGTTGAAGTCTGGACCATGTAATGTACAGCCTTTAAAATGCTGGTGGGGCTCTCTATGTTTGCTGTGTGACATGACAAGAGCGGAGCAAATGCGCTGTCTTTGGAGCAGATTTTGTTCAGAGCAAGCTGAATACAGCCAGCTTTCATCAGAGCATGAAAAACTTTGTCAGTCTGGGCATTTGGAAAAACTGCAATGTGCATTAGGCTTAAAGGAAGCAAGACGTCACCTTCCGGAACCACAAGCTGATTGGCTGACACAGTAAACTTTGTTCCTGGCAGCAAAGCCCAGTCTTTGAGGGTATCCACAACAACGTCGAATGTTGGTTTTGTTTCTTCCTGATCTTCTTTCACACCTACGGATTCACTGATAAAATGCCACGCATTCTTAAGCCAAGATTCACTTGCAAAATTATCTTTCCACTTTGTACAATTTTTGGTCTTATACTCACGAGGCAACACAGAGGATAACAAGTCAGCAAAGCTGGAAATGTCAAACACTTTTGCAACTTTACAGCTCAACAAAATACTACTGTATTTCAAATACAACGTATTCATAAACAAGTCTTTGCGGGAAGGAATCAATTCATGGTATGTTGTTAGGAATTTGGCCCGTTTTGCATCAAAAGTCTGTAAAACACTGTCCAGCGTGATGAGGAGGGGCAGTCCCTCAACTTCAAACTCATTCTCTAATGCGTCTTTAAAACAATAATCAACTAAAAGTTTCAAACTATGAAAAAGCTTCAGGTTTGTCTGCTGAAGACGACAAGGCAGCTTCCCAATAATGCAGTTCGTGTCAGGAGAGGAGAAGGTCATCAAAAAGGACCTAACATCGGCAGGGGTCACATAACTAACAGGAATATCTGCATCTATGAGGCAATGGTAAAGATTTGCAGTTTCATCACAGTTATAAACCAAGTTGAAACCAATTTCTAAAAGTAGGTGTTTCAGCCGATAGACATTCTCTGCCACCGTTTTACGGGTTGTGATATTATAATCTGCATTTTTAAGGTGCTGTAATTCATCCTGTAGTAAGTTGTCAAAAAATGGTCTAGTCTTACTTGAAGTGGACATATTGATCCACGTTATTATGACTGCAGAGTGCAAATCAGAGCCGTCGATATTTGGAGCCCGAACAACAGGTAGAAGACGTTTCATTTCTTCATGAATACAGCTATACAGCGCTTTCACTAAGCAATATAAATCTGGCTGGAGATCAAGCCTATTAACTGGGAAAAATGACAAAAATTTCTTTAATGTGTCCTTTACTACATGAATAGGCGTGTTCTGTAAAACTGATAAGGTTGGGTCGGAGCCAGGGAAATACCGCTTCTTTAACTGGATTAGTAGTTCAACATAGGCAGGAGCTATCAGTGCCGTCATTAAACTGTTGTTCCAGTCGCTCCGGACACCAACCCCGTTGTCATCACGCCACAGGTTTCTCCGGGCCGAATCCAGCGCGAAGTGTCCATTCACATGGAACGGCAAGCCCGTCTCCAGAGAGAGAGGGAGAAAGCAGAAGGCTCTGTGAGGCTTTTTGTAGTTGTGAGTAATGCAGGCAGCTACTCCACCACGCGGGAAGAGAGTAATGTCTTGGTTCTTGTGAGCTGAAACAACGCTCTTGGACACTTTGTCCATACTTGAAAATCCTGACCTATTACAAATCAGCCATGTGGTGAGATTTCCCTCAGAGTCCTCAGTATCCATAGTGTAGGTTATCTGCTGAACTGGTATGTCTTTGAGCTGCCTCTTCTTAGTAACACTATCAATTACAGATGCATGAAACTGTTTCCTTTTCAGTCTGTCTCCATCCGTGATTTTGCCCTTCACTGAGTACAATACATTTAGAGCTCCTGTACCTTTATCGATTTCACAAATAGAAATTTTTTCCATGTGATTAAGAAACATCAGAAGTTCGGCCCCATCTGAGCGCAGTTTGTCTAAAAGATTCTGGACCATTCTGTCTGACGATGGAACTGAAGAAATTTCCGAAACTTTTGCCATTTCTGCATTACGAAGAGGAAATCTGAACATTGTACAATTATCCAGCTTAAAGTGGGTCCCCAGGTAAAGATCAAGAACATCTGAGAACTGTGTTCTAAAATCTGCATCTAAATCTCTAAACATGCGCCCAGGACTAACAGATGTGGCTCCTGGTGCATACCTGGCGTGGGGATCAAAAATACACAGGATGTCATTGCCAGAAATAAAAGAAGGGCAGTCTGTAATGTGATACACGGAATTGAATCCTATTCCATACTGTCCAGTTTTACAAGGATTTCCTTCTTTGGTACCTTTTCCAAGATTCTGAATTCCTCTAACGTCATCTTCCGTGAAAGGCTGGTTGTTATACACACAGAGTGCGGGCCCCTGCAATGGGGCCCACTTGTCATCAAATATCCTATCAACGGGATGCTGTCTAGGATCAAACACAAAGCAGATTTCTGTGGCTTTAGCATCGTCGGCATTTTGAAGAAGTTCTTTCAACATTTCCTTTTCTGAAGGATAGGCGTTCAGGATGCTCTTAATTCTGCTGGTCAATTTCTCCTTCTGCCCAAATTCTGTGCCAAGCGTTGTAAAACAGATGTTGGATGCGTATCTTTCTAAGGCTTTGTGTCTCTTTGGTATCGCACCTAGTTTCACAGCTACTTCCCTGGGTATATCAGCATGACAATATTTCACAGTGGTATCCTTCACTTTTATCCAGGGACAATCATTGTAGCATAAAGATTTAGCAGGGAGAAGCATAAGATTAGTATCTGGCAATAATATTTTGCCATAATTTTTCTCACAAAATTCTTGTTTCTTTTCTCTAATGAGATTCCATATTCCTTCACTGATTATTCGCCTGCAAAGCTGAAAATTCTCTTCTGTTATTTGCTTCTTTCCTTTTTCTTGATCAATAGACTCCAAAACGAGGGCAAAATCTTCAACCATAAATGACTGCCTCACACCCACACTTTCAAAGAGCTCACGGAAATTATTTTTATATTTATTAGGTAACTGATAAAGGTATGGGGCTGCATCAAAATTCAAATGAAAAGCTACTTTTTCTGAGTCAACATATGTATTTTCAACTAGAATGAAGCTAAAAGGTTTTAACTTTTCAGTAACTGATATCTTAGTTAGTTCATTTTGCATCATTGCTTCATGAAGATATTTGTAGCAAGCATTGGTGATATTCTCCTGGTATAATGTAATTCCATCATCAACCGATTTTGCAACTACTTTCAACTGGCTTATAACCAGATCAAGTGTTGGCTTCTTTAGTAACCCCAAAAATTCTTTAACAGCTAGTGAAACTGAACCACAACCTCGAAAGGAATGGGAATTTTCATTGAGAATTGGTTGCAAAAGACAAACGATGTCTTGGTGTTCAGCTGTATAAAGATCAGTTGCCGCAAACATGGTTTCAGGCTTAAAACTGTTACCTTTCCACTCCAAAGAAAAGCCAGCTGGCTTTGTCAGATATGGAAGGAAGGGGATTGTTTGATATTTTGCAGCAAAGTCCTTTGCTCTAGGATCCCTTATTTTTAGTTTCTCATCAATAAGACTTAATAGGATACTACTTCTTAGACAAGCGGCGAGATGATCACTTTTGTTAATTTCAGCTACTGACTCTGCACGTTCCAGCATGTCATCCCATAAAATGTCATCCTTTGCCATACCTAACTGAACTAGCTTAATTAAAATGATAGGGTTGAGGTAATCCTGAGTAGAACCATAAGGGAAACGTCCATCTTTAGTATCAAATAACTTAGCAACTCGTCCTTCAGGGTGGATCAATCTTGATGGTAAAACCAAAGGATGCCCCTCCAAAGAGCAAGGGATACACGGCGTAACCCGAAGAATTCCTGAGAATTCATCAATTTTCTCATTGAGAACAAAATTCATTAGAGGATCTCTGAGACCTGCCTCAATTTCTTGAATATTTGGAAAAAACACTTCTGAAAAAAACTGCCTCTCTGAAAATGTATTTTCAAGCAATATCTGTTTGCAGCCAGCTTCTTCAAATCCTAACTTCACTGAAGAAGGAAGTTCAACAGCACATAGGTTTTTGGACCCAGTCTTTTTGAGGTATTTCAGAAATATCTTGAAAGCTGCTGGACCCACATCTTTTCTCTTAAGTATTGAATCATCTAGAAATCTCACATTCTTCATAGAAACCCAAGTGGATCCATCAGAGAAAACTCTAGTCAAGTCTTTCCCTTTTCCATGAGCTATATCTTCGTAAAATCCCTGACAAATTACAGAAAAGTCATCATGAACTAAGTCAGGATCAGGCCACGCTGCATAGTAAGTATAACCAGTCAGCTCCCCATTAGAGGCCAGGTCACGTAAGACACTGAGGGCTTGTAAGTAGGCTTTCACAATAACATGTCTCATAAACGTAGTATTCCATCGTCCTTTAGTATCTGTCTTCCAGATTTCTTTTCTATTTGAAGTAACGGCGAAACAGCCATTGATGTGAACTGGCAAGCCTGTTTTTATTCGTAAAGGTAAATAGCAAAACACTTCTCCAATGTGTGGCTTCACTGTCCACTTTTGGTCCTGGGTTTCAGACAGCAGAACTCCTACTGCTCCACAAGGGACCAGCCCTAGTCTCCTTCCACTCTCACTCAGGGAAAACTTGAGGGCCTCTCCTGGGTCCATGCAAGAACATATAAGCCATGTGGTAGAATCCAACGTTTTTTGTGGCAACTCATCTGATGGCTTTTTTGATTGGCCAGACTTAGCCATTTCAAAGAGAGTGGCTGGGTCATCATCTGGACCTCTGAACAGGGGTGACTGTAAATCAGCAATCCTTCTGAACACGTGGTGAAATTCTTCAACTGTGATCTGAAGAATGCAAGATGCCTTTGGTGCATCGGCAGGAAGCTTTTTGTTACTGCTGCTGCAAGTCTTCATGAGCTTAGCGGCTTCTTTTAAAACACTCAGGACAGGTGCATCCAATACTTTGGAAGAACAGAATTTTTTTTTAATTACGATTGTATCTTGCGCTAAGCTAGGATCAGTTTCCTCAATCTTTAAGTACTTCAAATACATTGAGTTTACACTCTGTGTGAAAATGATCAGTCTGTGTCCACAGAGACTAAATTCATCCACAAGGGAGTAAATGTCTGCTGTATTATAGCAGGTACTGCTAACTTCACTCACTTTCGCTTCCTGCTGAGTCCTAAAGGACAGTCGGAAAAGAGTTCCATTGTAGCTGTAAGGCGCCTCTATAGTCAAAGGCAACTGACAGCCAAATACATCTATAAATGGTTTGAACTGATTGGGGAATTTCCTAAGTCTTTTCTGTTGTTTACTCCAGTTGATTTTGATCCCAGGATTAGATTTATCTTTAATATGTTTACTGATATGGTTTATGTTAGGATCAAACATTATCATGAATTCTCGGCTCATAATGATGGGAATGTCAGTGATATGGTACACAGAATTAAACCCAAGTCCAAATTTTCCAACTTTGTCAACTTCTGCCCTTTTTAAAGACTCTCCTAACCTTGTTATGTTGACGAAGTCTGAATCTGAGAATTCAGAATTATTGAATGACCACAAAGCAGGTCCATGGCAAGCTGCCATCCCCGGGTCTAGAAGATTCTCTCTTATGTCCATATTTCTTCTCATATCAATCATGAAACTGCATTCTGTTGCATTTGCATCGTCGGCATTTTGAAGCAGTTCTTTAAAAATATCTGACACGGAAGGGTATTCTTCCAGAATATTTTTAATTCTTACAGTAAGTGGTTCCCTTTGTCCTGACTGCTCAAACCCCATGTTTTCAGGGTTGATCAGTCTTGTACTGAGGCATGGGACTTTCAGCCATTCTGCAGTTTTCATGGGTATGTCCTCGTGCACCAAAATGATTGGTTCCACTGAATCTTCAAGTAAGTCATTGAGGTCATCAACTTTGATATCACAGTAACAGCATTCATGAATCGGCTTCATGATAAGTTTAGAAGGGTTTTTGCTGTGATGTATAGGAACTGGCGTATTGGGGCTTGCTGGGATTTGGTTACTATATAGCCATCTGATAATGTTCAACATAAGATGAAGATTTTGTTTGCTTTCTTGTTCACTGAGCTCCTCATCACTTTTGAGATATATCTTTTGAATGACCATGGAAATATGTTCCGACGTTAACTCCTCTATTGAACCACAGACCTTAAATAATTGGTGAAATTTTGCCATGGTTTTAGGCACATTATGTAAATAAGGCTGAAGATCCAGATCATGGATTGGTTTTATCACAGCTTGGGAAAGAGGACAGAACTTTTTGCCAGTCCAAACCCATGGAAATTTTAAGGCCCTAAAAGAATCTTTCCCTTCATTCAAATGATCATGCATGAATCCATAAATTTCAAGCAAAATATGTTGAAACTGATAGTAGTCTTCATCACTGAAGGTTTTTGAAGTATACCAGTCAACGACAACTTTAAAGTGTTTTAAAACAGCACTGATGCTAGGTTTTGTGAAAATACCTAACGCTTTCTCCAAGTTTACGTGGACAGTTTCAACAAGAGGAAGTGAGGAGCCCACTAGAATTGCATGGGCCGCATCACACATATCTGGCGGTGCACAGAGACTGCAAAGATCCCCTTTCCAGACCAGAGAACCTGGGTAGTTTGGAGGCCTCTCCTTGCAGGCTGGAACCCACTTTATTTTCTTCAATGTTGTCTTTCCTTCAGAGGATTGCAAGAGTGTGTGATTCTTATTTAAGACCAGTAAGAGTGTTTTGGCTTTCTTCAGAACATCCTCATCTGGACAGGACCCGGCCTGTAAGGCCTCAATTTTTTTTGCCACTTGCACAATGTCTTTCTCTTTAAGACTGGTTTCATTTTTTAAACCAATCTGTCTTAAAGAATGAAGAATATCTGGTGAGGTAAAAACTGAAGGTGGGAAACAGGTTTCTTCTTCGTTACAAAAGAGATCTTTTAGTACTTCTACATCCGGATCGAAGAGTTCGCTGGCTGATACCATCCTTTCCTGTGAAATCTGAATGAATTTTAATGGCATTAACCAATCAAGCACATTGGGATTCTCATTTTTAAGAGAGGAAAGATTTTCAAGGATCCACAGCATAAGGTGTGTTACCTCATCATGTGAATAAAATGCATTTTCAAGATCTTTTAGAACAAGCTTTAAGCAGCTAGTGGTTTTTACTTTCTCTATTTTCAACATGTTTGCCAGGCGAAGTGTAGCCTCGTCACTACTGTCTATTACTGAAATAGAAAGTCGCAGATCTGTCGGCAGCTTGGCAGTATGGTGCAAGACTTTACAACCTTTCAATTTTGTGTAAGAGGAAACCCCCTGATCAGATGAGTGGTTAACTCGTTTGAATATTGTCAGTTCTTGAATTATTCTTTTCTCTTTCTCACTGACATCAGTTAAGCTAGCCAAGAATTTCCTCAGAGCATCTTTGTGTGTTGGAAGCAGTGAAGCTATTTGATTACATAATTTCTGCAATGGTATCTTCTCCATTATCTGCAGAACAGCACTTGGTAATGGCGGGTGGATGTATTTTTTAATGAGTGGGTGCTGTATGGAGGCATCTAATTTTTTCAGGACAATCCCTCCGAGCTTTTGCACAATTTCTGCTAAAAATTCTGGAAGCTGTGCTTCAGTTTCATCATCTAAAATGACTAGCGACGGAACCCTGAGTCTAATGAGTTCCACACACGTCTGACATTCATCTAGTACAGTTCTGGGAATAAGTGGCATCTCATCAAATAAAGTCAAATCCTCTGAAAAATGTATATAGAGATTTTTCCAAACCATCTTAAGCCATGAAACAGACGGGAAACTTTGGTCTTCACTGAATGGATACCACTGAACAATCAATTCTCTGCCAGGCCAGAATGCATTCAATACTTCTTTAATAAGACGTGCAAAGCGTTCTGGATTTAGAAGCTGCAGTTGAGTACACGGTCTTCCTGTAATCATACACAGAAATGTTACAAATACACATAATTCCACTATAAATAGCCTACTCTTGAAGATAAGACAGTATTAGAAAGCTGTTTAAGAATGTGAAGTAAATGCAAACATTCAGCTTAATTGGACTAGAATCATTTTTTAAGTAACAACAGACTTATACATAAACTGGTATCATAATAAACTATGAGAAAACTAATTTGAAGTGAGTATATAAACATCAACTGTATTTTTTTAAAGTATCCTCTAATGTTCTCCAAATGGAACCAACATGAAAAAACATTTTAATGTTTATCTGTCCACAAATCAAAGTGCCACAGAAAACATACATAAAGCTTAAAAAGAATCTTTTCTCATTTAAGGGTAAAACTTGGTAGGCAAACCCAATGCGTATCTTTTTGCATTAGTCCACGTTCGCGGGAGCCACATGGCTGCATGCGTGGGGAGAAAGGTGTGAAGTCCGGGCGTGAGACTGGAGCCTCTGTCTCGGTGACTACTACTCCCTGAGCCTCAGGCAGCGAGGACACCTTCAGTTTCCTTTCAATCACTAACCAGAGTGTTCTTCGGGGGTCGTTTAATCTTTCTAGAACTTGAACTCTCATCTGAAAAAACGGGGTGGGGTTTTAAGTGTAAAGACTACTCTATGTGCATACCAAATAAGGAGTGTAGCGATAGCTTTTCTAACACCAGTTACTTAATATTACTTATTAAAGTGTGTTTTGCAGAGCCCTGGGATTTTGCAGAAATGCTTCAGGGGTAAACAAAGGGAGCAAGTAGGATGTTGCTGCAAATGCAGGGGATGTCTCCCACTGAAAGACAAGCAAGTGTTTTGTTTTGTTTGTTTGTGGCAGGGGAGCTTGCTGATTTTAACCACTGGTCTACACATTGGCCATTTTCTAAGCACACTGTGTGGTCCAAAGTATTAGTACTATCAGCAGAAACGAAAGAAAAAACAACCCTACAAACCTATAGGTATGTATGTGCTCACACAGGGCAACAAAAACTATCCCAAATTCAATCCTGTACAAACTAATACTCAATATTTGCCCTATGTACATACGACTCCTTGACCCTTAGAAGCAGAACTTTGGAAAACATTGTAAAATGAGGCACGACTCCTTGACCCTTAGAAGCAGAACTCTGGAAAACATTGTAAAATGAGGCAATCTAGCTGTTGGCACTTTTGTGTAACATTACTTTTTAACCAAGGAAGAATAACTTTATTTCAAAAGTTTCTCATCAGGAAGATAACTTTACCTTCTACAAAAAAAAAAAAAAATGAACTCTCATTACATTTCAAAATTATTGTCATAGTAATTTAAGCAAGGGCACACTTCTGAAATTAGGAAGGTGATAACAGGTACCCAGATTCAAAATACTTTCACTTTCTACATTGTGCAATTTAGAGTAATTCAAGTAGTACTATTTTAAGAATTATAAGATCTTGTATCATCAATGTAGGTCCTTTGGTCTATAAATCACAGTAAAATAGAATTTTACAATAATATTCTTTAAAAATGTTTACTGAATTTAACTGTAACAGAATAGTCAAATCTTAAGTAAAGCAAGGATATAATACTAAAGATATACAAGAAGAATTAGAAATTAAAACAAAACATTCACAAAGGAATTAAATACGCATTAATTTATGTTCTAAGTCAATTGCCACATGACATGCATTCTATAGCTAATCCCACCAAATATTCTTGCACGAAATTTGGCAATTTATAAAACATACCTACCTTCAGGAAAACTGCCTGATATCAATGCATAAATGAAATGCTACAACACACACACACACCACAGATAGCATGCAACTAACACACCAGTCATGCTTGGTTGAAGAAAAAAACAGAAAATAAAGGAGAGAGAAAATGTAGTAAGACACAATTCTAAGTATATTAAGTTGACTCAAGCTGAAGCCCCATATATTTTGTATTAAAGTAGAAAGAAATTTAGAGTTTAACCCTAACGTATAAACTTTAACATGGAAAAAGTCTCCACGTCATGGATTAGAAAATCACTATAGCACCTCTAATAAGATCAGCAAAATCATTCTTATAAACTGTAATAAATGATTTGTCATGGTTTTTGTGGCCTTAAAAATTATTAGCATTGTCAAAATGCCGATAGAAACAGGTTTTATCTAAACTATTACCAAGTAGGAGCGCCACACTGCTCACAGCTGCTAACAGTTTAGAGAAGGAACGCTTTTATCCGCAGGTTTTGCTTTACTACAGATGAATCAGTCTCTTCTATGTTGAAAACAATGGCCACACAGTGAATCACTATTTGAAGGCTACGCTATGTCTAACTGTTTATAGATTCAGATTTGGATTTGGATTTAGACTTATGTTAGTGTGAACCTTCAGGACAGGTCCAACATAGAAATAGCAGGCTACTTAAAATTTTAGTTAACCGAGAAATCTCAGTCCTGAATGCTTTAATTAACTGAGAGTTTATGTTTGACCAGACAACTCCAAAGTCACACCCAACTGGATGATCCAAGGCTCCAAGCACAGGTGAGTTTTTATACTTTTCAGGCACACAAAGTGGCAACAGCAACTCTGATAGATGGTGAATTCTAACAACGTTCCACTGTACGGGGAGATTCCAATCTCCTTATAAATACATACGTGATACAGTGAAGATACAATTAAATAGCGTACTATGCACCAGTTAAACATTCAAAGAAACAAAAAGGAAAAGAAAGCAGAGAGAAAGAAAAGACCAAACAGAAAAAGGAGGGAAGGCAGCCTGCCTACCAGCCAAGACTGCAGGGGGCATGCCACAGACCCCCAGAGGGGCTGCAGTCAGCAGTGCTTGCAACACCCTCCTCTTGGGTGGCACGGGGAAGGGGTTCAAACCAGCCCCAGCTACCAAGCTGCTTCCCCAACTCTCAGCACTAACTCTCTCCTACTGACTTTCTAGCTTTAGTCCTAAATGGAGAAGCAACAATAGCTAGAGAATCACTATTGATCCACGTTCCAAAATAGAAGATATATTCATAATGCTTTAAGAAAAATTTTACAACAGTAGCTATGAATTAGGCACTCTTACTATAATCCAAAAGGCAAACTAATATCTATATAAACTATTAGGTAACAATGACTCAGTCTCTAAACAAATTTTATAGAAGTATGGCCTGCTTTACAGAACAATATTTATCATAAGATAGTTTCTATACAGCCAATCTTGCATCTCCAAATCTCCAAGAAAAGAACTTGGGAAAAATAATACCACAAGTTGAGTCAAAAGTTTCTCATTAAAAAATAAGGCAGTCGGTAAAATGACAAGTAGGAATGGCAAGCAGGATCAGCTGCACACCCCTAATGAGAGCGGAGTGGGCCACTTCGCTGTTCCTTAGGCCAGGACAGAGATAGGCTCCGCGTCAACACCAGCCTCAGCTCTAAGCCGAACTCCACGTGGCTCCTTGTGAGGCCACCCGCTTCCCAGTCCCAGGTCTCAGAATTTACACCCCTCCCTCCTCTTCAATCTGCATATCTGTGTATGTCATATAACAGAGGTGCGTTCCCTGATACACTTTCCCGTGAAATACCACAACTGAAATTCGTGTTCCTACATCTTTCATTTGAGACTAAATGTTCTATGAAATGCATTCTTCCAAGTCAGTTAAACATGCTTTTATTGAAGTACTTCTAACAGCCAATGCCTAGATTAGTAGTTTCCTCTCTCCTTTAATAGTTATTACCAATAGAAAAACATTGTTGTTATAATTTCTAGCTACATAAATAAACGAAAAACAGATTCAACAAACCAAATGAACAAAAATATCAGGCTTCAAATGAACACAACATTCAGCTGTTATCCTACCTGAATATCCCCAGAGAAGTTGTTGTGCTAGAATATAATTAAATCTGTTCTTAGAAAGCCCAGGATTGTTGCAAATTTTACATGATCACTATGGAAATTATCTCAGGACAATGCTTTCTACAGAATCTTTAAGCAAAACTCCAAACACAGCAGAATATACACATTTAAGATTTTAAGACTTATTTCAATGCAAACTAAACCCTTATTATGGGAATCTTAGTTCACAAACAAAGCAAAGAAGAAAAACAACATGCATAAACTATACTTCATCCACATAAAGTCATTTGCTATGCTAGTAGGGCACTTTTTGCACAGGCAATCATTGTATAATATTCGGAGATTCTAAATAAGAATTGAGAAAGAGAAGAAATATAATTTAAAAAAAAAAGTTTAAATATCTATCCAAAGTAAATGTACAATTAATTCTGAATTCATGATAAAGAAAGGGAGATTCATGGCTTGTTACTGGTAATCATCAGTAATTACAAACCTTAAGAACTGCTGCGAAGACATCTAACTTGCCCCTGCCTAAGTCATGCCCTGGGTCAAGCAGACTGAGCATGGCGGTTATGCATTCAGGTATGCTAGACTCAACTGAGCAACTGAAATAGGGGCCAGAGGTCTAAGCAAGGCAATATAAATGACTAAATTAGCATCCTCCCAGTTCACCCAGGGGCAGGTCTTTGCCAGCAGCAATACTGAGTGCTAGAGATGGGGAAATGAACAACCAGACAAAGCCCCGGACTTGGTCTGTATCTAACAGGACGGTAGTATCAGAAAATTGACTACAAATAACGGAAGTGCAATGCGTGAGTGCCGTGGGGGCCCAGGGCCACGAAGCACACACGGGCGGTGGGAAGACACCCGGGGGTGAGACGAAGGGCACTGCAAAGGAAAGAACATGCACCGCACCAGCGGGGAGAAGAGAACATCCCTGCACACGTGAGCAGGATCAGGGGAAACAGCGCAGCTCAGCAGGGAGGGGATGAGCACAGCAAAGCTTTACCTAACATGTTACATGCCAGGTATCTTTATTACCCCAGAAAGTAACAGCCGGACAGAAAATGCCTCACAGGGAGGACATGGTAAGGGTCCTGGTCTTTGCGTAAAGAAAAGGGAGACCCTTGAGAGATTTTCCCGAAAACCAACGTGGAAAAGTAGTATT